CTCTGCTTGACCCCCTTCAGTCTGGATTCCGCGCTGGTCACTCTGTCGAAACTGCTGTGACCAAAGTATCCAATGATTTAATTGCTGCTAAATCTCGCGGCCAATACTCTATCATAATCTTCCTTGATCTTTCTGCCGCCTTTGACACTGTTGATCATCAACAGCCTCTTCACATTCTCCGTAACTTGGGTCTACGGGATACTGCTCTCTCCTGGTGCTCTTCCTACCTCTCCCAGCGCTCTTTCAGTGTTTCTTTCTCTGGCTCTGCCTCTTCTCCCCAACCCCTCTGTCGGCGTCCCCCAAGGTTCTGTTCTCGGCCCCCTACTGTTCTCTCTCTATACTGCCTCCCTTGGTAAACTCATCAGCTCCTTTGGCTTCCAATACCATTTATATGCAGATGACACACAATTCTACCTGTCCTCCACTGATCTCTCTCCGCCCACCTTGACTCGTGTTTCTGACTGCCTCTCTGCTATTTCCAACTGGATGGCTGCTCACTTCCTTAAACTCAACCTGTCCAAAACAGAACTTCTAGTTTTTTCTCCCTCAAGTGCTGCTACTAGGGTTTCTTTTTGATTCTGATCTCTCTTTTACTCCCCATGTCCAATCGATAGCCAAATCCTGTCGCTTCAAACTCAAGAACATAGCGGGCATCCGCCCATATCTAACGCCGGACTCTGCTTAGGTACTGGTTCATGCTGCTGTTCTCTCTCGCCTTGAGTATTGCAATCCCCTTCTCAGTGGTCTTACATGTTCCCAGCTTGCACCGCTGCAATCTATAATGAATGCGGCTGCGAGGCTTATTTTCCTGTCCGGTCGCACCTCCCACGCCTCCACGCTCTGTCAGTCCCTGCATTGGCTTCCAGTTAGATATAGGGCCCAATTCAAAATTCTGGCGCTTGCTTACAAATCCCTACATAATGCTGCTCCAACATACCTATCCTCCCTCATACACAAGTATGTCCCGTCGAGACCCCTGCGCTCAGCCCAAGACCTACACCTATCCTCTGCCCGGATCCCCACCTCTGATGCTCGCCTTCAAGACTTCTCCAGGGCTGCACCTATTCTGTGGAACTCCCTTCCTTCCTCAATCAGACTTTCACCCAGCCTCCACTCCTTCAAAAAATCTTTGAAAACTCACTTCTTCATTAAAGCGTATCAATTAAACTGTCAGCAGGTTTCTCATCCCCCACCCCATGACTCAGTTCCTGCAACTGTCAAAAATGACCTACCAAGCACTCAATAAACCCTTCTGTAACAAACTATTTAATTCCCCTACTTTAACCCTTTGTGTCATTATACCCCACTCCCTCTAGCATGTAAGCTCATCGAGCAGGGTCCTCAACCCCCTCTGTTCCTGTACGTCAGTGGTCTGATCTCAATTATGTGTCTGTTAGTCCAACCATTGTACAGCGCTACGGAATTTGTTGGCGCTATATAAATAATAAAATATTATAAAAACACTAGGGGTTGCACTGTATGTGTATAAGGAGCTGTTATATTGAAGGGCGAGCTTGCAGCACTGGATACAAAGAGCTAGTCTCTGTATCCATTGTTCAGAGGCTTGCAGTGTCACGGCTCCATGTGCCACTAAATTGTGAGATCTGACTGTAGCTATGGCATAATTTGCAAACTGAATTAATTTGCAATAAGTGAATTAAAAATTTAATTTGCAATTATGCAAAATGTTTAAATGTGACTGCATTGTATGGTTGCATAGACTGGCAGTTATGTAAACATAAGTGCGGGTGTCAAGGGGTTATTTGAAGAAAATGTAATTTTGGTTGGGCAAATAAAAAGCTTTAAAAAAAAAAAAAATTGTTTACCAAATAAAGTTACAAATAAGAAAACCATGTCAGACATTTTCCACACATTCTATAATCCTTTTTTATAATATATATAGTAGATTATATGTATAGTATATGTAGATTGGATTAGCCGTATTTGTCCCATAGACAAGATGCCAAAATACCAGAGTATTGCAGTATGCAATGATACCTTTTTTATTGGACTGACATAATATTTCAAAGACAAGCTTTCGAGAGTTTTCCTCTCTTCCTTAGGTCTGAAGCAATACAGATCAATCTGATAGAGTTTAACACTTAAAACAGACGATGTTAGAGAAGGGGAGGTGAGTGGGGTATCATAAATAGCAGAACATGTGCCTGAAAGTGAAAGGTGCAGGTTGACTGAGAATAGCCAGACAAAGTAAATAAACAGAGGAGAGTCAATAAGCTAGTTAAAAAAACAAAACAAAACAAAAAACAGCAGAGCAGGGCATGCAAGTACAGTGAGGGGAAAAAATAATTTATCTCCTGCAGATTTTGAATGTTTGCCCATTGGCAAAGAAATTATCAGTCTGTAATTTTAATAGTGGGTGTATTTTAACAGTGAGAGACAGAATAAAAAAATCCAGAAAAACGCATGTCGAAAAAGTGATAAATTGATTTGCATGTCAATGAGGAAAATAAGTATTTGATCACCTATCAATCAGCAAGATTTCTGGCTCCCAGGTGTCTTTTATACAGGTAACGAGCTGAAATTAGGAGCACCCTCTTAAAGGAAGTGCTCCTAATCTCAGTTCGTTACCTGTGTAAGAGACACCTGTCCACAGAAGCAATCAATCGGATCCCAAACTCGATTGTAGACCTATTGAAAGGAAACCTTCTAGGGAGAAAAAGAGATTGTGAAAGTCAGAGTATGAAAAGGATCCACAATTTGTGGTTATGGAAACTAAACTCCAAAAAAATCTAGATCATTTTCACAAAAATATCAGACAAAAGAAACAAGTTCCAAAGAGATTTTAGGACTTCCAAGGAGACAATATTTTTAAAAACAAACGCAGGACGTTCAACAGGAACTCAGAGGGTAAGAAATATTCCTCCTCTGAGGAAACGGAATGGCCTGAGTCTGAATATCGGAATACATCGAAACCCCTCACTAGAAGTACCAGATTCAGAACAAGAGGCATGACAAGGGGCATTCTTAAAAACACAGAAACAAGTATCTCCTTTACCAACCCATCAGGCATGGATAATAGAAATCAGGAGACATTTCCCCCTCAGACTTTACTAGACAGGTCTTCCACAACATCACAATCCCTGCCTCTCCTTAATTCCTCTTTTTTAGATCAAGAATGGCCATGTCCACAGGGGCGTATTAGCCGCGAGGCAAACAAGGCATTTGCCTTGGGCGGCATTTTTCAGGGGGCGGCAAAAAACGCCGCCCCTCAAATGCCCAGGGCAAATGCCTAGTTAGCCTCGCGGCTAACTGACATCCCGAGCGGGCGGCGCTGGCAGGCGGGCGGCTGGTGAGGGAGCACTTCCTATGAGCTCTCTGCTCAGCTCCCTCGCGGCCGCAGAGTGAGGCTGGGAGCCGGAATATGACGTCATCTTCCGGCTCCCAGCCTCACTCTGCAGCCGGCGCGCGAGGGAGCTGAGCAGTCAGCTCATAGGAAGTGCTCCCTCGCCAGCCGCCCGCCTGACCTGCAGCCACCGGACCACCAGGGATAGAGACACCCCCCCCCCAGCACTCCCAAAGGTAAGGAGGTTGGGGGGGGATTTAAATTTAAAAAAAAGTTAATGTGTGTGTGTATGTGTCTGACTGTGTGTGTGTGTGTGTGTATGTGTCTGACTGTGTGTGTGTGTGTGTGTATGTGTCTGACTGTGTGTGTGTGTGTGTTTGTGTCTGTATGTGTCTGACTGTGTGTGTGTATGTGTCTGACTGTGTGTCTGAGTGTGTGTGTGTGTGTGTCTGACTGTATGTGACTGTGTGTGTGTGTGTATGTGTCTGTGTGTGTGTCTGACTGTGTGTGTGTGTCTGTGTGTGTTTGTGTCTGTGTTTGTGTGTTTGTGAGTGTGTGCGTGTGTCTGACTGTGTATGTGTGTGTTTGTGTCTGACTGTGTATGTGTGTGTTTGTGTCTGACTGTGTGTGTGTGTATGTGTCTGACTGTGTGTTTGTGTCTGACTGTGTGTTTGTGTCTGACTGTGTGTGTGTGTATGTGTCTGACTGTGTGTGACTGTGTGTGTGTGTGTGTGTGTGTGTGTATGTGTCTGACTGTGTGTTTGTGTGTATGTGTCTGACTGTGTGTTTGTGTCTGACTGTGTGTGACTGTGTGTGTTTGTGTCTGTGTATGTGTGACTGTGTGTGTGTGTGTGTGTGTGTCTGACTGTGTGTGTGTGTTGTGTCTGACTGTGTCTCTGACTGTGTGTGTGTGTGTTTGTGTCTGACTGTGTGTGTGTATTTAGAAGGTGGGGCGGGGGGGAGGGTTGGGTGGGGGTGGCGCGTGGGGAGGGGGGCGCCTGGGTTTTGTCCTGCCTAGGGCAGCACAAAACCAGGATACACCACTGCATGTCCACAGAGGGAACGTCTGAGAGACAGGAGAAAGTGGGGTTAAAAAACCAACAGAAACAATCAGTAATCAATTGTGGTACAAACGACAACAAAGTGATCAACCTATCTGACTTTAAATTGCAATCACGACATATAGACCTCTTAAACAAAGGACTTTATTGTGTACCTACTCCATCCACTAACTCTTAATTGGGCAAAAGATCTTAATTTGTTTGGCCGTAAACTGGCCTTACATGCTTATGTTAAAAAAAGACCATAAGACTATGAAAGACATAGGATTGTCACTAGAAGACTCACAGTTATTTCATATACTTGTAAATTTGATGTCAGAACAGGAGGTACAGTCACTGACAGACCTTAAACCCTTGAGTTGGTTTACCCCCAACCTCAAAGAATTTCCAAATATTGATCTGTTTATTCACATGTGCACAAAAGAACTGGATGAGTTATTTAGGGGCTCCCCATACAAGTCAAATCTTTTAATGAAAAGAAGGCCTTAAATGAATTGCAACATACACACAATATTGGTTAAAACCCCTTTAGCAGCTTACCTTAATCCAACGCCGGGCTCCCTCTGTGCTGGTGACCTCTCCTCCCCCGCCGATGTCAGCTCCCAAGTGGAGCGGAATGTGCATTCGCTGCAAGAGTCATGCTGGTATTCAAACAGTCCATAGGAAAGCATTTTTCAATGCTTTCCTATGGACGTTCTGCACGCTGGATGCAATTTTCGCATTTACCAACGTCGCAGAAGCACCTCTAGCGGCTGTTAGGAAGATCTTGGATTAACCTTATTTCTCTGAAACTGCTATGTTTATATGTGAAGGGTTAAAACCTGAGGGACCCGACACCCAGATCACTTCATTGAGCTGATGTGGTCTGGGTGACTATAGTGTTCCTTTAAACATAGGGGGCAATATTGTACTCTTGAATAAAGAACAATACATTGATATGTGTATGGTGTCGTAATTGGCCTATCCTACGGCATGACGCTCTACTTAATGATACAATATTACCACATCCCTCTATGACATTTAGAAGGGCAGCAAATTTAGGAGACTTACTGACCCACAGCCATCTTGAACCACGGTGCACACCTACCACTTGGCTACAACCAACCAAGGTCCTTTACAAATGTGGGCATTGCAAAGCATTTGATTTCATCACCCCCACAAAAATGGTAGTCAGCAAACAGACTCGTGTGGAGGTTACCATTAATGCATGTGTGAATTGCAGCTCTACAGATGTCATACTTAGTCACACGTACGTGTGGCCTTCAATATATTGGCAAAACGTACCAGCAACTTGGACGTAAAGTTTTGCAACATGTTAATTCCATCACAAATCCTAATATTGACACTCCGGTGGCCAGACATGTGAGGCTCAACCATGATATAATCCAAGGGTTTTGAAGTTCCAAGTCATACAGAAGTTACAATTAAATTATCGGAAAGGCAATATTAATCTCTTATTATTGAAGGCAGAATCACGCTGGATCTACTCATTCCAAACCCTTTCCCATAAAGGATTGAACGAGGAGTTAAATTTCACTCCATACATCCACTCTTAAACATTCTGCTGAAAGTTATTCATTTATCTCCTTGGGATCCTTGACCTCTCCCTTTTGGGCCAAGTATTGTCCTTTATCTGTTTAATTTCCATTAGAGTTGTTTCTACACCATAACCTCTTCGTGACTATTAATCCTCTGTACAGAATACAAATTTATCCCATTAATAGTAATATTTCACTGATACTATATTACTTTGAGTAAAAAAGGTCAGAACAACTTACGACACTGTATAGACCATTCCAGTTCTAAATGAATGTTAATTTGTAAATAGTTATTTCTTTCATGAATTACTAACAGCCCCCTTTTCTTACTTATTAAAAATATATACTACAATTATCAAAGGATTGAGAGTATCTAAAAAGCTCACAGGGCTTTTGTATAAAATATATGATAAAATCAAGTGGGCTCAGTTCAAAACTCCCATTGATATTAAATTCAAAGAGAGTCCTTGCTGCTGTTATCTTTATTAATTTTCAACGTACTATCATTAGACCTTCATAATATGCAGCTAATGGCACAGCAAATCTTTCACAGCAGACTTAATTTTTTTTTACATTTTAGAATAGATGTAGGGCGTATGTATATTACTTAGGGATATTTCTGTCTAACCAGACCTCTTATAGGAGACATCATTGCAGAATGAAATGTTAACTTGCAACCTTGGGACACACATATCTTTCCTCTGGAAGTTCAATTTAATCTATCCTAACAAAAATTATGGTTTGGTTATCCATAATTCCAAGTTTATTTTTTTCCTCTGCTCACTCCTTTGGGGAAATCCATTTACATCTATGACCATAGAACAGATCTTATTGGTTTAGCACAGAGTGAATGCAATAACTGACAAGCAAACACATACAGTGTACCTCCTTTAATAATATGTCAAAAATCCATAAAATGGGTTTTTATAATGGCTAATTTCTTTCTATAAAATGTATATTTTGTAGATATTAGGGATCGCCTGCAGCTATCCATTTCGACATATAAAATAGGCATCTCGGCAGCACATCTCCATATAACATATGTAAACCTGTATTACAGTGTAGTAAGGACATTTTCTCCTCTATATTTTGTATAATGCACTCAAATGGTTAATATACAAACCGTGCATAGCTACACCTACAGTTTTCTATCTTTTTACCGATTGGAAAATGGAGATCCAATCAATGACAGAGGTGCCTTATTTAAACCTCTGTCTTACTAGATTCTGTTCCCTTGGCAGAGCCTTGTCGGCGAAACGTGCGTCAGGACATTACATAGTATGGTGTTGGCCTATAGCTAAGGGACGACATGCATTAATACCTAAACGATAATACCATCCATACTCCATTTTTTATTATTTGTTTGTGCTCAAGAAAGCACATGTACAGGCCCATTTGAAGTTTGCCAATGAACATCTGAATGATTCAGAGGAGAACTGGGTGAAAGTGTGGTGGTCAGATGAGACCAAAATCGAGCTCTTTGGCAGCAACTCAACTTGCCGTGTTTGGAGGAGGAGGAATGCTGCCTATGACTGCAAGAACACCATACCCACCGTCAAACATGAAGGTGGAAACATTATGCTTTGAGGGTGTTTTTCTGCTAATGGGACAGGACAACTGCACCATGTATCTTCAAATCTTGGGTGAGGACCTCCTTCCCTCAGCCAAGGCATTGAAAATGGGTTGTGAATGGGTACTCCAGCATGACAATGACCAAAAGCATACAGCCAAGGCAACAAAGGAGTGGCTCACGAAGAAGCACATTAAGGTCCTGGAGTGGCCTAGCCAGTCTCCATACCTTAATCCCATAGAAAATCTGTGGAGGATGCTGAAGGTTTGAGTTGCCAAACGTCAGCTTTGAAACCTTAATGACTTGGAGAGGATCTGCAAAGAGAAGTGGGACAAAATCCCTCCTGATGTGTACAAACCTGGTGGCCAACTACAAGAAACGTCTGACCACTGATTGCCAACAAGATTTTGCCATCAAGTACTAAGTTGAAGGGGTCAAATACTTATTTCACTCATTGACATGCAAATCAATATATAACTTTTTTGACATTCATTTTTCTGGATTTTGTTTTGTTATTCTGTCTCACTGTTAAAATACACCTTCCATTAAAATTTTAGACTGATCATTTCTTGTCAGTGGGCAAACGTTAAAAATCAGCAGGGGATCAAATACTTTCTTCCCCCTCACTGTATATAGCTGCATATATGTATGTATATAAATTGATCCAATAAAGGTGAAGCAAGAATACTGAAAAATAACTATATAAGACATTAAGATGAGTGTTTTTAAAAAGGTTTGGTAGTGTGTGAGAAAGCCAGTCTACATTAAGTCCTTCATTTCTGGTGTTGAAATGTGTAATCATTTTCACCTCAAATGTCTTTTGTTCCTGAGAGTCTTTGAAATTCCCTTTAAGAACTTTAATCCTGAGGTTTTGGATGAAGTGGCCAGTCTGGGTGAAGTGATGACCAACAGGGGTACAATATCGGTTTTTCTTGTGGTTCTTGATTGAGTGTTTGTGTAGATTCATTCTGAGATGCAGTTTAAGGCCAGTTTCCCTTACATTGCAGCCATAGACACTAACCCACATTGACAAATACACATTGTGACTGAATCTCTATCTGTCTGTGTGTATTTCTGATTGTGTCTGGCATTTTCTGTGTATGTGCCCGACAGGGTTTCTGACAGGGAGTATCCTTGTGTATGAATGTGCCTGTGAGCAGGTGCATATTTGTGTCTGGGACCTTTTGTGTGGAATAACTACTTACAGTGTGTTGTGTAAAGTTCCTGTAGCCATCTTGCATCATGACTGTGTGTATGATTAAGGTCTTCAGGAGCTGGACTATGACATGGTTAGTTAAGGAGTAATGGGGCAGGGTGAGTGTGAGGGTGAATAAGAGGGCTGGGGTAGACAAAACGAGGATGAGTGTGACAGGTTTGGAAGAGGGAGTGTGACAGGATGGGGGGGGCTAATGTGACAGGGTGAGCATCACAGGGTTGGGGTAAAAGTTGCACGAATGGGAGGACAGAGTGTGACAGGGCAAGGTTAGTTGAGCCTTTCAGGATTGGAGAGGTTAATATGTTAGGATGAGTACAACCGTGTGAAGGATGGTGAGTGCGTCTGTAAGTGTGTCTAAGCCATTAACCACATTTTTATGTGCGGATGAATACGTGGCCGTGTGTGTGTGTCTGAGAGCGTGTCTGTGTGTATGTCTGAGAGCGTGTATGTGTGTGTCTGAGAGTACGTGTGAGTCTGTAAGTGTACGTGTGTCTGAGTGTGTGTTTCTGTGAGTGTACGTGTGTATATGTCTGGGTGCATGTATACGAGTGTCTGTATGTATGAGTCTGCATGTGGGGTGGGCGGTGACGTTTGGGGTAGGAGGTAGATGTATGGGAGGGGCCCTAGGGCAATTTTTGCACCGGGGCCCTGTGGTTTCTAGTTACGAGATCTGTATAACTTTTTTTTTTTTAACTTTTTAGTGAAAAGGCAAATAAACTAATAAAATAGATTTTTTTTTCTGGAAGGTATGAAATAAATATGGGATATTTTTAACATTGTCACCATTAGACAAATGGAACACACTTCTAAAAGCAGAGCGATAACCATGCTAAACAGTATTAAATTTTTGTTTATTAATATTCACGGTAATTTAATAGTTCGGTCTCTTATAGATGAATTACTTCGGTTAGTGCAACACTTGAAACAAACATTCTTAACTTTTTAAAATACTTTGAATATGCTCTTTTGTCATTATGATTGTAGAGCAAGCATGTCAAATTCGCGGCCCGCGAGCTTGACATGCTTACTAAAGCAGAGTAGGTACCTGCTCTCCCCACATTGCAGGTCCGTACTCTGCTCATTTACCCTGCCGGGGAATTAGTACAGAGAGGGGGATTGGTATTTAGTTCAGAGGGGGGATGTTTCTATGAAAATTTAAGGTTTGTTTTTTTTGCGGCCAACAAACTTAAACCTTATGTGGCCCATGCTAGCCTTTGATTTTGACATGCTTGTTGTAGAGTAATGATAAAGTAAGAGCCATTGACAGTGAGATACATTGTACCTTTGCTTTACTGGAGAAACTATGTGAAAGTAGACATGTTTTTCACTAGCAGAGAAGCATTACAAGGTTAGCATTAAGTGCACTCAATATGCAAAAGTTCCACCCCTAATGTATATTTGTAGAATTTCTTATTAAATTGTTGCTACAATCTTTAACATCCCAATAATCCACATTGCCGAAACCAGCAGTGGCTAACTAGACACTTTTCATCATGAGAAAACACGAGGTAGAGCCACCACTGACCACATTCATACAATACCACAATCTGGAGCAATACAGTTGAATCTCAGCAAAACAAACGTGGTTTCATTTTAAGTGAACTTGCTATGCATGCAT